AGAAATTTTCAGCGTATTTAATTCCAAAATTTCTTCTCTTCATATGGAATCTATATGTAAAGTAACAATCTGAAATATACCTCATGTGACTTGGTGTTGCTGCAGATGAACAAAGGACCATTTTTGTATATTTTTTCTACATTTCTTTCAGAAATTGCACGGCTTTTAGTTAAAGATAGTTAAATATGCGCGCGAGTTCTTGCAGTGGTCATTTGATATAATTGCACGAATAAAACGATAAGGAGTTAAGAAGAGTTTGATGAATGATGGTTCTGGTAGACCAGCGATTTAAGCAGCCCGCTGTGACATGGTGCACGTGACGCATTAACTAGTTATCGGATAGTGAGGATTTCAGTTGCCGAGATCTTAGTGTTAAATAAAGTCTATCTACCAGGTTTTCGATGTAATCTATTAAGCGACATGATATGCTACAGCGCATTTGATAATTTTCTCCAAAAAATATATTATTCACAGAATCTTAGTCTATGACTGGTTGATTCTTAATATTTTTACTTAATTCACATTTTGCCTATCTAGATCATGTTAGCTTCAATTATGGATTTTGAAAATCAAAAATATACCTTTCAGTTGCATTGTTTACTTATTAGAGGAAGTTCTCAAAGAGCTTACTACTGTAGATTATAATGGTTTTATTATGACGGAACTATGACCTAGTAGACTATACCTTCATATGATTACAAGCAATAAACTGTGCTCGAAACGTCATCAGTAAATATTACTGTATAACACTGTGAGACTTTATCACAATAAATTTTACCCATAATGGAATTATACTTTACCACAGTGCACAAGTTCTATTATATCAAAAAGACTGGGCATTGGTAAGCTTTTACTGTCTCAGAACAGTCAAAAAAGGTTGACAGAGCCTGAGTATGTATATACACATATTTAAAATGACCTTGAGAGGCACTAATGTCATTGATAAATTAGGACAGTGAGCAACCAATAGGATTTCAAAGGTCACAAGTAGTGTGAGAGAAATACAAACAAATGTAAAAATGACATTTAGAAAATTAGGTCTGCATATCAGGTTTGTACTCAGTTAGAGAAAAGTGCATAACATCCCATCAACTGCCAAGTGAATTAGAAGACAGAGTGGTTGGGAGTGGTACATCAGTTTCACAGCGGTTGGGACTCTCGCGGACAGTGCAAGTGATCCCTTACCGACGCACACCTGATATCAATTGGTGGAATCAAGCTATAATCAGAAAAAGAAGATTAGAAGATTTGGATTTCGCACATCGATCATCTATGTCTAGTGTCACAAACTCGAAGGCCTACGGGAGAAAACCAACAAATTGGCAGAACAGACAGGCAGCGAAGACAGGACTCCAGGTGAGCATAGAAAAGAGAGGGAGGTGATGAATATAACCAACCGATCACCTTCATACATACATACAGGAGTAAGACAAGGGTATATACAACTAACACTGATGGCATTCTTAATTGTGGTGGACTGGATTATGCATCAGACTGTGAGTGAACAACAAGATGACAAAAATACGCTACAATGACCGATAAGAAGACTCTATAAGATTTGGATTTCGCACATCGATCATCTATGTCTAATGTCACACAAACTCGAAGGCCTACGGGAGAAAACCAACAAATTGGCAGAACAGACAGGCAGCGAAGACAGGACTCCAGGTGAGCATGGAGAAGACGGAGTTGATGAAGATAATCAACGAACCTCAACAACAGCACCAACCACCATCAATGGGAGAGATTTAACAGAGGTCACCTCCTTCACTTATCCGACTAGGAAGTATCGTATCAACTAGAGGAATTCGGGACGGACGAATGTGTCAAAACTGGCCAGTCAGAATCGGAAAGGCAAGATACGCCTTCATCAACCTGAAACCAATTTGGAAATCCCCTGCACTCCGCCTCAGCATAAGGAGCAAGCTTCGCATTTCCAACAGCAATGTTAAGTCGATCCTTCTATTATTATTATTGTTGTATCCTTTAATTCCTACAGGAACATAGGGCTTCAGCCGTGCGTCTCCATTGAGTTCGGTTCTCTGCTAGAGTCTTCACCTGGCTCCAAGTCTGCCTACACGTTTTCATCTCTTCTTCACATGACCTCCTCCAAGTCACCCTCAAACCGACGACCAACTCGCCGCTTCCCTTTCGGGTTCCACTCAAGGGCTTGTCTAGTGATGTCACTTGATGGTTTCCTCAGAGTATGGCCAATCCATCTCCATTTCTTCCTGCCTATTTGTTTCACAATCGGTTCCTGCTTGGTTGGTTCGCTCCCAGAGATCCCTGTTACTGATCTCTTCTGGCCGGCCATCTGGTCTTGAGTATTGAGCGAAGGCAGCTGTTAATGAAGGTCTGTAGTTTGTTTGAGATGCTCTTTATGACGCACTGGCCAAGTCTCTGACCCGTATAGTAAGTAGCACTGATTTCACACTGGAGTTGAAAATCCGGACCTTATTTTTCATGTTGAGTGCTGTTGACCTCCACACAGACTTGAGAGAAATGAAAGCTTGTCTTGCTTTCCCGATTCTTGCTTTGATATCCTCGTCAGTTCCGCCTGTAGTTGAAACGATGCTTCCCATGTTGGTAGGTAAAAGAGGTTGTTTCTTTCAGGTTCCTTCCATTTATGCTGATTGTTGTCTGTTGTTGTTGCTGCTGTTGGTTGTGTTGCCCAGGAATCTTCATCACCTCTGTTTTCTCTATGTTTACCTGAAGTCCTATCTTCTCTGGATGCTTCTTCTGCCAACTTGTTGTTTTTCGCTTACATATCTTCCAGTTTGTGGGGAATCAGACATATATCATCGGCGAAGTCCAGATCCTCCAAGATTTTTGTGTGATTCCATTTTATGCCTGTTTCCTCATTACCCGCTGTTTGTCGCATTATCCAATCTACTGCAATCAGGAAAATTATTGGCGATAGTAGGCAGCCAGCTTGTCTTACTCCTGTCCTCAATTCGAAGGATTCCGTAAGTTTCTTGTTGTGGATTACTTGGCATGCAGCATTGTCGTACAGCTGTTGGATGAGATGTATAATTGTCGGTGGCACCCCATAGTAGCGAAGTAGTTTCCAAATCACCTCTCGATCGACGCTGTCGAAGGCCTTTTCAAAGTCGATGAAGTTGAGATAGAGAGGTGACTGCCATTCCAAGCTCTGTTCACTGATGATCCGTGTTAGCCGTGAAGTGTGTTAACCGCTTCTTTTTTTTATTTTTATTTAAATGCAGAAAAACTTGGTACAATATGGCAACAAGAAAGATGCGCCACACAATAATAATAAAACAACATAGATTTAAAGTTAAAATATAAGTAGAAAACAGATAAAGAACTTCATCAGGAAGAAAAACAGTCATGTTTAACAAGTTCAAACAGTATTCGTTAACTATCATCAGGAAGGGAAGAAAGAAGGAAATCGCAACACATCCGCCATTGATTACGATTCTTGGCCATATCCGATAACGTTTTGAGCTATCTCTCGGATTCCATCCAGGGAGACGTGATGCACCAACTGATGCTAACCCAGCACAGATATCCTTCATCCCATGATGCCACGTCATGGACTGATCACCTCTCCACCTTTTCCATCCCGTCCCAGGGCTAGCGAACAAAGACCTGTACAGAAGCCTCTGGGATGACATTCGCAGCACATATTTAAGCCACTGAAGCCGGTGTTTCCAGATGACGACACTCAACAAATAGTGACTTCTACTGTGTTCAAACGCACGCTGCCGAACCTCAGAATTACTCACGCGATGATGCCAATGAATGCGAGTAATCCTGCAGAGACAGCGGTGATCGAACATGCAGAGCCGCCACACATCCTCAGCTCGGAGAGGCCAAGTTTGACAGGCGTAGGGCGAGACAGCCCGCACTGAAGCATTGTATACCCGACCTTTGACAGCTAGGCTAACATCGCGATGGCGCCAGAGGTGGCACAAGTTGATGTATGCCACCCTAGCTTTCATTATACGGTTGGAAATCCCATCCGTCACACCTCCGCCAGCACTCACACAACTATCCATATACGCAAACTTATCAACAACTTCAAGCGGTTCACTTGCAACAGTGAGTGCAGTTACAGGCTCCTGCCAATCTTGTAACAGTACTTTGCACTTAGACCGCGCAAATCACATACCATACAGACACTGATCGCCAACTGATTAAGTGCGATTTGGGTAGCCTGCGTACTGTCGCACAGTAAGACGATATCGTCTGTATACTCGAGGTCGAAAAGTCTATCTCTAGGTTTCAGATCTACACCACCTTCACGCGCGTCTTTCAGAGCTGACTCCAGAATGTCATCGATGGCAAAGAGAGAGATCGGGCAACTCTGTCTAACCCCACTGTTAGTTGGGAGCAGTTAGGTTGTATGCCCTCACTCTACCTGAGGTGTTTCTGTATAGGGCTTTCAAGATGTTAACAAATTTCTCAGGTACACCTCTCTCTAACAGACAGTTCCAGAGCACAGTTCTGTCCAACGAATCGAAGGCAGCCCTAATGTCAAGAAACACAACGATCGTTGGCCTGCAATACGTGTGGTGGTGTTCCAACAACTGACGAATGGTGAACACATGATCAATGCATCCACGACCTGTACGAAACCCAGCCTGCTCTTCGAGAATCAATCCCTCACGTATTTCGCACAGCCTGCGAAGCAAGACAGCAGCCAATATTTTAGACGCAAATGGTAGCAGACTGATACCTCTATGATTGTCACATGAAGGCAATTTTATATAACACTGAAGATGTTTAGAAAGACAATGAAAACTTCACAGTCAAATTATTTTGCTCAGAAAATACCTTAACAAAATTAAAAACACCCATCTGACCTATAAATCTCTTCTGCCGTAATTCGGTAGTTTAAAGATCTGACTTTCCATATCAGATTAACGTAATTTCCGAAATGCTTTAGTATCATGATGTAAGTAATTGATCATATCACTATCCTGACCGGTAAATTTCGTTCAATACAGCTAAATTGGTTGATTTTCGCAAATATTGGGGCCTAATTGGACAAATTCCTTCAACAAAAAATATACTGTAAGTGGTAAGAAAGGAAACAGTCAGTAATTTCACACATTTATTTAGATTGCATTCTTCTCTCAATATCAAAATTAGTTTCCTTTCTTTCATAAAGTGATATCATTCGACTTCAGTTTACGCGGTATCATAATATAAATAACATTCTTCTTCTGTTTAACACGTGCTGAATTCAAATAATACATATCTAAACTAACTTTATATTTATGCTCAACATAAGTTGTTAAATCATAATCGAAATTCTCATTCTGTTCAATGATAGCCTCCAATTTCACTGGTAAATTCTCTAGCGTCTTCAAGGTCACCAATCGCTGATATCCTATGATTATAACCTCTTCAGTTAGATCAAATTTTGCGCGAACAGTTTCTAGTTTCGCAGTCGGATCCAGTTTCACAGTGATACAGCAATCTCGTTCTAATATTTTCACAGCAATTTTTGTCTGTATTCTTGGTAAACCAGTAGGCACTAGACGACTATCATCGCCAAGTGTCGGTGTATCGAATGTTCGCGTTTCACTGCATCGAAAGATTGATGATGGTGCATGGTTATGATTGTGGTGATGATGATGACGAGACTTATGATTTTCTTGGAGTACTTGTTTTTCGGATTTCTCCTCTTTTTCAAACATTTCATTTAATTTTTGTATTGCATTTAATTCATCTGGACGTAGCATTGTGTAGTTGCACGGCCACTCTGTGTGCGTATGTTTCCTTCTCTCTCTCTCTCTCACACACACACACAAGCACTTTTCGATTTGATTTTAATAATGATCAGTTCTACGGAGAAGATAGAGTCTGAAATACAAAAGATAAGAAACAAAGATTGGATTTTAAATGTGTTTACTAGTTATCCACTCACTAGAAAATCCATATTAGGACATTTTTGTCACTAAAGTGAAAGAACACTCTCAGGTGTATTTCATCATTCTTCTGATTGGTTACGAAGTTATTCCAGCTAGCTAACATCAGTTCAGAATGTATTGCGATGGCGTCAGCATTGCAGATTTTGACAGATAATCTTATTCAGTCAGTAGTATGTTGTAGATGCAAGCACAGAGCAAATAGCTCAGTGGTGAAGGCACTGAATCTCTGAGATAGCATCACTTCCTTATAAGCTGCAGACACCTCACTTGCTGTCAATGGTTAAACCTTAGTTTATGGCTTCTTATCGATTCGTGCGAGACGTCTGACATTAATTTAAGTTTCGCTGCAATGATGATTCACATACACTGGGGAACAAATTAAAATTATGACTTTTAGAATGCTATTCTACTCTTATAAAAAGGGAACTTTGAATTCAAATTATCAAATCACTTTGAAGCCACTCCAGCGACTAAACGTTACGCGTGAATACATCGTAACCATTGACTGCTTCTGCGTTTCGCGTGGAACACGTTGTCGATAGTTTTGAAGTTCCATTGCCCATGTTATTGTTTTTTCCGGGAATGTATTGCTAGTCTCACCCCCAAACTTTTCTCTTTTTTAGGCTTATTACCATCTGGCAAACTAGACAAGTTTTAGAAGTGCGTCAGATGGAAATCAAACCCGGGTGACTGGTAAACATTCTTTTGCTGAACCACCGACTGACCATTTGGCACAATTATTTTTATTCCTTAACGTTCCTAGTGGAACATATGGCTTCAAGCTAGAGGCTTCGAGTTTTGGTAGCAGTGGTGTTTTATTTTTACGGGACGGGGTCGCTAGCCTCATGCCAAATCTTCCCTCTTCACCAGTCTTATTTCTGGCTTAGAGAGGTAAAGCAGTGCGTTGACTGGGGATCGAACCCCAAACCACATGCGTAGTCAGCGAGAATTCTACTTCTGTGCTACCAACGCACATTTTGGCGCAATTAGTTTCTCTTATTTTCCATCTCAGTGATAATTGAAGTAAATACATAAAAGGTGTTCAGAATTTCAAAATGAAGTAGGAAGTCAAAAGTTAGGCATTTGAGCGATAATAATAATAATAATTCCAAAACAGTACTTGTGATACAGAATGGAATTCTCAGCATTTTGTTTACTACAGTATTGCATCCAGTTAGTACATTATCAATAAATAGAATTCTACATAGATTAAGGAAACCAACAGTTCATTATTACAACAATACATTGGCATGTCAGTAGCAAAGGTAAAGCTGAAACAGTGTTTGAAGGTGTTAGAAAAGTGGGAGCTGTCTTATTAACTGGCGTAAGCGAGAGAAAGAAACAAGGCAGCACATAACGGAAAAAAAAGAGAGAGAGAGAAGGAAAAGAAAGAAAGAAAATGTTGTACCTATAAATGGTATGAGTTGGAAAGATGAGATGCAGTTGTACTACTGACTATTTAATGAATTATAGGTGTCATGCCTAATGCTTTCTTTATCACACAGAACACGAGCTAAGTAGTGTATGGTTGAGTTTTTGTACTTGCTGGTGCGAGCATTTTTGGACTAAGTAGATTTTTGTCAAACTGAATTCTAAGACAAAAACTAACAGTATTTTTATTTGATTGGTGGTGAACAGCAGTAGAGATCTAGTTAGCTGGATATACCTGCAACCCCACTCCCCATTGGGTGATGGTGTTTTTCTAATGGCTGAGACTCGAAACCAACACCTGTGGTTTCAAACGTCAAAGTGTTACCTACGGTAGTGGTGTGGTACAGACAACATGTGCCAACGGAATTTTATTCTCACCTGTTCCCACAGTTCAATTCAGCATTAACAAAAGAATACGATAAATTTATTTGAACTTTCTATTTGATGTTAGAAACAGAATACATTTCCCACGGTTATATATTGCATTAACAACAGAATACTATGTACATTTGAACATTCTATTTCATGTCGTCTGATGTAAACCGAAATCACACACTCAGTGATTGGTTAATGAATATAAACTGTAGATGCATAAACAGAAAAATATAACTTGGCTCCCGTGTCTTGTCTTTTGTTGTTACACTACCACTTTCTGTTGGTAACGGAGACTGAACGTCTCTGAACAATGTAAACCAAGTAACCGGAAAATAAGTTAAGTTGAAGAAATGAAGATAATCCAAAGAGTTAGCATTTCAGGGCACATCGTTCAATGCAGTGAAATTGTAGTAGGTGAGAATGTGAGTGAAAATGCCTAATTACATAAAGAATAATACTGACTTGATGAATATTTAAAAGGACTATAGAAGTGATCTCATGAATCTCAACAGTCTGAAATCATTGATTATTATCGTCTAGATGACACCAGTTAGCAGCCTGACAGCCTACACCTCCCTGCGTGGCTGGCGCAAACCAACAGTAGAACACTTCATGTAGTGATTCCGAGTTTTGATTTGATAACTACTAATTTTGTAAAACTGTGCACCAGTTCAAGGTGCTATACTTCATAAAAACACACATAAAGGCAGAGTAAAGAACGCAAAGGAACTACGATGAAGCGAAATGTGCAGGAGAAAGAATAAATATATGAAGACTAATGAATGAATAAATCTAAATCGTCGAGAACGATTTCGGGCCATTTCACCAACAGACTCCTACTACTGCTTCTTAGCATCCCGACGACCCTGACAACACAGTATACACCTCCTTACGTCGCTGGCTCAAACTAACAGTCAAGTAATTTATGGATTCAATCCATGTTTTGATTTGATCACCATGCTAACTCTTTTCTGAATCAAATCTTATATCAGATAACATTGCTCGACAAGGAAACGGGTGGCTTACCATGCGTAATATATTTTCTGACCATTTCAATCGAGTCAGCTCCCCGATCTTCTTAGTTAACATTCACTCCTTACCCAACCTCAGTATTACTCACAATACTGTACTACTCTACACGGGAGACAGAATGCGAATGCCTATGATCACAGACGACTAGCCTCTTCATCGCCTCTTTCATTAATTTCTTCTTTCTTCATATCTGTGATTTTATCTGAACTACAGTTCAGATAGCTCAAGAATGTTTTTCAACAGTATTTCCGTGTAATGTATTTTAAGGAGGATATTTCACAGGAAGTTACAAATAACACAAGCAAAACATGATTGTGTCGAAGATTAGAACAGAAAAAACTGCTAAAACAAGTTATATGTCATAGTATTTTGAAAATTCGATTAGCTTTCATTGGTGCGATGATGGTTTAATCTTAGAATATTTGCAATCCACATAGTAGGTCGGGGTTCGAAACCCAACAGATGCACTCCAAAACATCGTCTAGTTCATAGTATTTCCAAGAAAGAGGGAATGTTAGGAAAAAGTCTAGAGGCCCCATACCGTTAAAAACGAAACATCACTACTACTGGAACTTCAAAGCTTAAAGCCGTATGTCCCACTCGGAAATCAAAAAAATTTTTAAAAAACACTGGTTCGTAATATGTTAACATGAAACACTAAAAATGAAACATGCCCTTGTTAAGAATATAAAGCAACTGTTTGGAGATTCAATCCCCATTTTTATATGTTTACTCTTTACTGAGTCTTATACCCTACTCGATTAAGAAATATGGCAATCTAAGCAGATAATACTGTGTTTTCAATTAGAACTCCCCCAGGCATCTTTACTCTGATGTATATATATATATATATATATATATATATATATAATATAACATTTCAATAATTAAACGAGACCAGAGTCTTACAAAATTAGAAGTTACTCAATGCCAAAGATAAATTGGGTAGACAATCAGAGTTTAACTATGAAAACGTTTCTCCTCTTGAATTAGTGACCAATATCAATCAAATGTGAAAATTTCGAGATTCTTGTAGATTTTGTTTGACCCTTTGAAGAAAGGTGATCAGAAATGAATCTGTAAAGCTGCCTAGTGGTTGATCCCATATAAGTTTCTCCTCTGGAATAGATAAATCTATAGATGCACATAAATGTGACACAGCTATATAACTCATTTTTGACCGGAGCAATGATGACTGGTTGGTTTAAAAATAATATGAAACAATGATAACAATATAAGTTCTTTTTATTGGTTCTAGACAGTTTTTAGAGACAAAACTTCACTAATTAATTCCTCATTGAATTAGGGCTTCATGAACAACTTCCTTTTTTAACCACGGTTGGTTTAACTCTCCTGTGTACAGAGTTCATGCGTCTGATGATAAATCTATTACAATATTATAGGCGCATAACCTATTTTTTCCCAATGAGTGACTAGGCGACAATGTAACATTTCTCAGTGGCGTGTATTTGATTCGAATTCTCAGTAACAACACCAATATATAGTTAAATGTAGCTGAGGATACATTCAGCTCAACAATCCCATGATTAGTACCTTGTTGGTGTTTCAGTTGGAACACTGCCATAAGTCACTGAGGGCGACAATGAAGATACTTTCAACTGAAGTTTGACTTCTGAATAGGATGAAATGTGCATCGAAGACTCCACTACTAGCCAACAGGTATCGTAGAAGCGTCCACACTGTATCATTGAAATATCGACGGAAACGGAACATTTTAAATCCAACCAATTAAAATTAATCAGCAGGAAATACAAAACTTCTACAAATATTTGAGAGCCTGTTTTGTTAAAAATCAATCGGATATGAAGGAAAAAAAGTGTGTAACTTACTCACAGAACAGCAACCACAACACCAATAGTAAAAAACCACTAGATCTCCGCGTGATGTCAGAAATCAACCACCCATCACACTTTTGTATATATAGAAAAGTAGAACTAATATCATTGTCTTATTATTTTCATTGGTTTATATAGACAGACGAAAATTGTATGCGCATTTATGAGTATGTAAAGAAAGTGCATTCGTAATGTTCAATCATGTTAGCATTTGCCTTATTCTGAATACATATTATAC